ATGAAAGAGAGCACCTATCAATCATCAAACTGTGGGGTCTTAATTCATTACGTATTGATTTCTATCTTACTTAGAAACTTCAGGAAAGTCGACGGGGGGGGGGGGGGGGGGGGGGGGCGCGCTAGTGGAGTGGAGTACTTCGTGACCACAGAGTGTGAACGTTGTGATCAGCTGTTTTAGCGCAGTTCTCCAGTGAAGGGAGGGGGTCTCCCTCCGCAGCCGGTTGGCGTAGTTTTGGCACAATTCCGTTGTACAGACCGACGTTAACAGCAGCCCTGTCTGTGCACACGGAGACCGACTCTGTCGTCCGGTGATCTAACCGCCTTCTGGAAAAGCTTCACAAATACGTCGGTACGCAAATGCGCTTTGTGACACAAGTGACGGTACGCATTTCAGATTACGCACATAACCTGCGTACCAGTTATGTGTTACCTGTACTCAGTGGCGGCAGGTCATTAGGGGCAGGTGGGGCACAGCCCCACCTAGTGTCAGAAGAAAGTATTACAAATAATGATTACAAAAAAATACTAAAAAATAAATAAAAAAACATATAAAATATATTTTAAGGTCATGTTTAATAATCTGATTCGTCTGTACATTTCTGTTTTAGTCTGTGTTCTTCTAATTAGTGTCTAGAGTGCCGTTTTGAGCTGTTTAGAGCCATGTGGGACAAAACCCGATCCTGCCCCTCCCTCTCACAGTCTAAGTGAACGGTGATTGTAAAAACTACACTGCGCATGCTCAGAGTATTTTTCTATTTAATGTGTGTGGCAAAAAAATAATGACCGTAGGGGCATAGTGCTCCCATCCCCACCATACGTCATCTCACATAATTCAGAATTGATTGGCTGTAAGTACTCACGTGTGCAGTGCTGCGAAACGTCACGTGTAGTTTGAAGAGGAGACGAGAGAGCAGCATATAGCTAACATCACCAGCGATTAAAAGAAGTAAAAAACTGAAAGAAAATTAATGAAGTTGACCATTTACTGGAGCACACATTTGAGACACTTAGTCTCGGAGAGAAACTGGAGGTAAAGCGCCTCGGTGCCCACCATCCACCGGATTTCCAAATGGTCCAGACTGCGGGCAAAGTTAAACGTGGGTTTAACGCTGAGTGGTTTGCTAAAAAGAAATGGCTAACGGCGAGCATCCAAAAGAATTCCCTCTTTTGCTTTCCTTGCCTGCTTTTTGGTGAAGATCAAGGTACTTGGTCGAGGACAGGTTACAAGGACTTAAAGCATCTTTCGGAGAGGACAATGAAGCATGAGAGCAGCAACAGTCATTTGGAAAATGCCGTAAAATTGGGATTACTTGGAAGGGTGAATGTTGCAGCTCAGATTGACAGCGCCTACAGACGCGGCATTGATTCTCATAATAGGAAGGTGGAAGAAAACAGGTACGTGCTTGGTCGGATCATCACCTGTATTAAACTGTGTGGGAAATGTGAGACAGCACTGCGGGGCCACAACGAGTCGGCGGACTCTCTGAATCCAGGGATATTCAGGTCAATTTTCGAGACAATGTGTGAGGGCGATTCCAGGCTTCAACGGCACTACGAAGCTCAGCTTGTTTTCAAAGGGACATCAAGCACCATACAGAATGAACTCTTGTACTGCATGTATGATGTGTACAGGGAGGAAATAGCCAAGCAAGTGGACAACACATCATTTGTTGCCGTTCAGGCCGACGAGACAACCGATGTCTCCTGTAAATCGCAAATGGTGATTGTGCTGCGATACATTATGCCTGACCTCACAGTTACAGAGCGTTTTTTGGAGTTTGTGGAAGTAAAGGACAAAACTGGTGTAGGTCTCTCTAACAGCATCAAGGCTGTTCTGGAACCCCTGAAGCTGAAAGAAAAGCTAATCGCTCAGACCAATGACGGGGCGGCCGTCATGAGCGGTAACGTGCGCGGGGTACAGACGGTGATGAAGGAGACGTACCCAAACGCTCAGTTTGTTCACTGCTACGCCCACCAACTGAACCTGACCCTGCAGCAACTGTGTTCAGCAAGGATGAGCATCCTGAAGGTGTTTTTTGCAGATCTAACTGCTTTTTCCACTTTTTTCTCCGGTGCTCCAAAACGTGTTGCAGCTCTTGCAGAGGCAACACAGAGACGCATCCCACGGCCACCGGCTGTGAGATGGAACTTTAAAAGCAGAACTGTGAACGCGGTTTGGGAGACCCGAGATGCACTACTTCAGTGTATGAAGCATATACGCGCACAACCAGGATGGGATGCGGTCACCATAAGTGAGGCATACGGCCTGTCAAAGAAACTGCGGGACCGAGCATTTATGCAGCTCCTGGAGTTTTTTTCGTTGCTTATGCCAGAAGTGGATGTTCTATACAACACTCTGCAAAAACGAAGCATCGATGCACCTGGGATCAACAGCGCGCTCTGCCGTTTCAAGGAAAATGTTCAGAAAATGAGGCAGAAAACTGATGCATTGGCCGCCACTGCTCATGATGGAACAGACGAGCCAGGCCGACGAGTCAGCAGCACAGCGCCGGTGATGAAGGAGGCTTGTGACACAGTCATCTCACAGGTGGAACAGAGGTTCTCACAGAGTGACCATTTGATCGCTGCAAAGCTTGTTGACAGCTCATTCTTCCCACAGCATGTCCTGTAATTTCCTACACCTGAGCTTGACTGCACCGTGAAACTGTGGCCTGCGTTGGGAAACAAGGAGAAGTTGAAGTCTGAGCTGACCACGCTCTACCGCCACAGTGAGCTTCACACTGGAAACACTGCCCTGTCTCTGTTGAAATCCATTCACGAGAACAACTTGGAGGAAACGTTTGCTGAGACTGTTATTTTGGTCAAAATAATAGTGACAACTCCGATGACGACATCCAAGTCAGAGGAACTTTTCCACCCTCAAAAGGATAAAGACTTTCACTCGCAACACCATGGGACAGCCGCGACTTAACGCATTGGCCATGATTTCAATTGAAAGCCAGTTGATCCAGCAACTACAGGACTTCATCCCCAAAGTGATAGACACATTCTGTCAGAGGAAGGACCGCCGTGCCGCTTTTCTTTTCAAGTGAGCCTTCAGCTTTGGTAAGTTCATTTATGTCATATATTTTGTTGATCTTCTGTGTTTTGCCTCTGCTGGATCGATTGATATTGTGACCTCGATGATGAGTGTCTGTGTTTTCCTTATATTTACAGTCTATGGTGTTTTAATGCTAAAGCATTACGGTTGTTGTTATTGTTAAGAATTACTTTGTGATGGTGACCTTTACTCCATGTATGAAGGTGCATTACTATGACATCCCCACGCTGTGTACGTAAATGTATGCGCTCACAGTGTTGCTCCTGTGGTCTTCAGTATGTAATTTGACACTCCCCCTCTCTCTCTCCTCCCCCCCCTCTCTCTGTCACCCCTCTCTCTCTCCTCCCTCTATCTGTCCCCCCCCCCCCCTCTCTCTCTCTCTCCCCCGACCTCTTTCTGCCCCCCCAGTTTTGTACACCTAGAAATGCCACTGCCTGTACTACAGCTAAAGTATTCTCCGTCGGGACTTCCTGCAACAACACCACGCCGTTATCTTGATTCTGATTGGCCAGAAGACATTATCAAAGATGTTCTATTGGGAAGACGATCACTACGTGACAAAAGTTTTCAAAACCGTTTCTGGTCTTCCGTATTTCCAGACAAGTGGCTGCTGAAATCAATCTTACTTACAGTCTGTGCAATTTACTCCGCGCGAGTTGGCGGACTTTATTTTGCTTACTTTAACATCATTTTTCATGGTGGGGCTAAGCCATTTCTTGGTATGGGTGTAGCCTACCCCAGCCATACCCTGTCTTTATAAATATTTGTCTGCTGGCATACCAGCAGACCAGCATTTATCTATCACCAGCTTATGTTAGTATTAAATATACAATGTATTCTGGTAACTATCAAAATAAAGACATTGTATAGTGTTCATAACAGTATTTTTATTTAATAAATTATACTAATACAATAATATTACAAAAAAAACCTACATCTAAATAAATATATCATCTAAAAAAGATGCATTTGATTTAAAAATAACAAATATAATTCAAAATGTAAACAGCAACAAAGAAATTATAAACATTTTTTTTCTTTTTCTTGTTAATATCCATTATTTTCCACCTCAAGACCAAGCCCCCAGGAAGTGTGCCGGACTCTGAGGAAAATATTCGTTGTGTCCAAACGGCGGTACTACAATTTCCTTATCAGTCTGTGACGTCGACCGGCCCAGAAATACTTTTTCCCATTGACTAACATTGGGAAAGAGACATCTGTAACTCGGTGGATAATTTTTTTTAAACTAAATAAACTACCCAGTATGAACTATTGTATAGCCCTAGAATCATTAAGTTCTTAAAGTTGTAAAATGCACTAAAAGCCGAATCTAGATTTATTCTCTCTCTCCATTCTTTCTAGTGAGCCGAGAGTGTGTGCTCGGGGGGCGGGGCTTAAGGGGCGCATGCTCTGTGAGCGCACAAACGGGTTATTCTGCTCTGACAGCCAGGCATGACGGGTAATCTGTGACGTTTCGCTCTCTCAAAAGTTGGGCCATTTTGACTTCATGTGCCAATGAGCAGCTCTCATAGGAAAGAACGAGGCCCCTCCACCGATGCTGTATCCAGTTCTTATTAAACATCCATGCTCAAGACGGGTAACATAACTACCCTCGGGGCGCTTAGTTCTCTCCGCCATGTGTTTGTGTGCGCGCGCGTGCGTGCGTGCGTGCGTGTGTTGCATGCATGTAGCAGGTTCTGTGTGTAAACTGCCCCACCCCCCAATCATAGACGCACTTTGTAGTCTTATTGCATATTAGAAACGGAGTTGCAGTAAGACTGCGATATAATGTTTATGTAGATATAATAGATGTGACATCTATTTTTTAAATGTCTCCCGTAACGATAAAAAGATTGATAACATTGGACGTTAACGGTACCACGGTCTTTAATAATTCAGCCCCAGGGCCCCGTTAATACTGGGGCTCGGTACCCATCCCTAGTTTTAATTATTACATCATCAATATTACATTTCAAATAACCAAGTACTTGGTTACCAACACAAAGCGCAAGTGGCTAGTGCTGCTAAGAACATACCTGGTGATGGTGATGATGGTGGCTCTTCGCTGCAGGATCTGGTCGATGTCCTCCTAGCAGAAGCGATTGCCTTCGTCGTTCTCGTCCATGATGGCGGCGTATAGGCTCCTTTCCTCAGCAGGTCCTCGATCTCCTTCTTGGAGAACTGCTGGACCGGCTAAAGGCGACGCAGAGAGACAAGTGGATTTAGAAAACTCTTTTTGAAAATAAACTAAGCGTACTGCAACAGCAACTGACCCAAAAATGACTTGGCATCTAGAAATATGACAGATTTTCTTTTTCTCACCCCGTTGTTGTTGCCACTCATGCTCTGCAGGACGGGACGGTCCAGCCCGAGCTTCAGACTAGCTTTATCCAGCATTTTCCTCTCATAGTTTCTAGTGATCAGACGGTACACCTCCACCGCCTTAGACTGGCCAAAACGATGACGAACCGAGCTTGAGCCTGAAATAAAAAATTAAAAGAGGGGTCAAAAGAGCATCATGTGCAGCTGCTGTTCAACGTTTTTAAGCATTAAATGGGAAAATAATATACACTTAAAGAACCGAGGGAACAGAGCAGATATATATATATATATATATATATATATATTGTACCTGCAGGTCATTTTGAGGGTTCCAGTCAGAGTGGAATATCACACAGGTGTCTGCAGCAGTGAGGTTCACGAGCTCTTGATCAGGTGTTTGATGTGGGCTGGCATGATCCTTTCTGCAGCGATGAATAAAGAAAACAAAGAAGACATTATTAATAATAGTAACAACAATAATATTAGTATAACTATTTATATAGCACTTACACAATAATTGCAAAGTGATTCTCACAACAAAAATAAAGAACAAAACAATAAAAAAACTAATTATTATAGGAATGTTAAAATACAAATAAATGATAAACATTCTGAGAGGCCCACTACAAAAGGTAGACTCAGACCCCGGCCACACGAGGACGAAAACGGCTAAACGCATAGGATTAACGCAAACGCAAACAAGCTTCCGTCCACACGCAATAGTTATCCGGATAGTGTCTGCCCACACGCTCCGTTTAGCTCCAAAAGCTGGAGAAACTGCAGTACATATGCAGGAGCCTGTACGTGGCGCTGTAACTTCCTCCACAAAAGCAGCGAAGAAGCATGGTTGTCATGGTTGCCCTTCTGTTTATTCTCCGCGGTGGGGGCCGAGGGAACCGGGCAGAGTTTTTCGCCAGTCAACGTGTATTAAAGTTTAAACCTTCCGACAAAATTATAAAAGTGCCGGTCAAAGGTCTTCTTTGTTATTTATTGAGCTTTAAAACAAATGAATAACGACTCTATATAATATAATAATAAAAATACACGGAGCCTCTCTTTTTCCTCCCTCTCTTCGGACAGCGTCAGTGTCTGTCTCATGCAGCAGCTGATCCAGTAATGAGTGACCCGGCCGACAGTAAAAATAAACATATTTATAACTAGTTTAGGTAGTTTGAGAGGTGTCTCCGTCCTGTCAGATTAGACTTCACTCGCGTTTATGTCCATATCGAGAGAAAGATAAATAATCTGAATTCAGTGTGCAGTTTACTTTGACGCGGGGGTGAGCAGCAGAGGTGGGGAGAGGCGGGGCTATTGCGCAATCATTATCAGAAAATGATCGCTGAAGCTGCAGTACATATCCACAAAAGCAGCGAGTAAGATCCCCCCCGGATGTGTAAGTCTGCTGTAGATGTTGCACAAAGAACTGTAGCATGGTCAGTAGCGTCCGGAGCACGATAGAAACTCTGCGATCCGCCATTGTTGTTGTTGTTGGTGGCGAAACACATCAGCAATGGCGCGGGGTACGCGGAGGTGAGCAGCAGAGGTGGGGAGAGGCGGGGCTATTGCGCAATCATTATCAGAAAATGATCGTATAGGGCGTACACACGGAGCTGTTCTATCCACCTTGGGACCCGTTATCGTTTCCTCAGTCGTTTAGTGCCGTATGCGGTCGTCCTCGTGTGGCCGAATGGTCTATATGACACGAAACAGTAACGCAAACGGCCGTTTTTGTCCTCGTGTGGCTGCAGCCTCAATGGCTCTTGATGACATCAATGAGCAGTCCCAAAACATGCTGCTGTATAAAAAGAAATAGGTCCAGATTTCTTCTATTTAGTGTTGGAGTATTTGATGTATTGATTGCTGATGGATGTTAAGACATGTTTTACAATTATAACAAAAAGATTATTGTAATTGGAATCAAAAAGTTTACAAATCGTAGTTTTAATAAAATGACTAGCAATATAGGATTTATTCAACAGCGGTAAAGTATTAAGTTACTAAATTAACGTACACTGAACTGTAAAACTTACCACTATTTAGGAAAGGACCTGATCAGAAGGATTGACTAGTAAGACAGCAAAGAGGCGGAGGAGGTCTCTGTCATGTACAACCATTGGTAGATGTTACACCTGAAAGAAAGATAAGGAAATAAGAAAACACAGGAGGACAAACATCTTCTTAAGTAAAAGACCAAATCATGTCAAGCTTTAACTTGAGGCTGTTTTTTCAGTCTTTACAATGCACAGTTGGAAATTACATTCCAAAAGCTAAATTCAAACTCAACACCATAAATAACTGGGTACCAAAGTGCTTTACCTGATAGGACACGTTCCACACGGAGCAGCAACCATCCGGCTGGGCCGTATGCTGCATATCATCTCCTCCCTCTCCACTGTTTCCAGTAGATCTCTACTGCCTGTCCAATTAAACTGAAATGCCCCAAAACAATCATATTTCAAAAGTTAAAACAATAACTTGCTTTTGGCATTCAAATGTATTATAATCTCACCTTTTTCCTGGATGTCAGGAAGGCGTTCCCTTCAAGTCCGCAACCAGTCATAGGAGTTCAAATGCAAAGCCTGAAAGATGACAAGAGCAGGAGACTTACATGTTACAAAATAAGTAATACCAGAGCAGTGTTTAGGACATGCAGAGAACAGATCAAATCCCCTGACAGGCTCACACACTTTGGTGATGTCCTCATCTGATGATGATGTTTCATTTTTAGCAGCAAAGTAACATTACTCAAGGTATATGTTGGACCCAACTCATGTACAGTATGTTTTGCATCTCCTCAACAATGGTCTGTATAGTTGAGTAGAAACAAACTGTCCCTACAGTTTCAGGTAGATTAACAAAGAAAAGTTTGCAATGAAGCACAAAACCCCTCTTTGTATTAAGCTAGCTGCCACAAAAAGTACAGCTTAACATGCTAACCTGGTGGAGTTAGCTAACGTTAGCTAACTTCATGTCCAACACAAAACCTCTAACGTGCATTACATTGACGATTTTAAACACAACTTAACTCTCTCAAATTGTAAAATAACGTTAATTTAACATACCCTTAAATAACTACATCACGTTTTTCAGGGGCAACACAAACTGCAGAAAACGTTAGCTGCTAACTGTTGTTAGCTAAGACAGCTAGCTCGTAACGATAGCCTCCTAGCAAAAGTAAGGTTACGTTAACATTAACTTAACGTTGTAAGAAAGCAAAACGAACCTTCGAGACATATTTTACTCTCAGACTGGGTGTAATTGTGTAGCGTTGCTTACCTCCAGAAGGACTTTTAGCTGTTTCCCAGTAGAGACTAGAGAGAGCTGTCAGAGCGGTTGCTCTCAGAAGAGCAGCATTGGGCGGACCAGAGAAGATCATATAAGAACCAGTTAAGTCTTGGAGCCCACCGACGTCTTCCATGTTGTTATTTTCATTTAGTAGTTTGCCTTATAGTCCTTCTCCTCCATTTTCTTCCTCTTCTCGAGTAGTAAGTGTGGTGCTGTTGCTTTGGTCTGGGTCTCTGGACCTGTGAGCTAACCACGCCCCGTTCATTTGCATATAAGGAATGGAAATGTCTCATCATGAAATACAAGTCACATGAAATAAGCCATTATGAAATACGAGTCTCTTGAAATAAAGAAACGCGTCATTATGAAATACAAGTCATCTGAAATAAATAAATATGTCATTATGAAATACGAGTCTCTTGAAATAAATAAATGTGTCATTATGAAATACAAGTATCTTGAAATAAATAAATGTGTCATTATGAAATACAAGTCTCTTGAAATAAATAAATGTGTCATTATGAAATAAAAGTCCAATGAAATAAATAAATGTGTATTTAAATGTACATGTATACATATTTATTGCCTAATTTATTTATTTTATAATTTATTTCATAGGCATATTTATATATATATATGTATTTATTTAATTATTTATGTATATATTTATTTATTTAATATTGGCTTAAATGGCATTCCATACACAACAAGCTAACAGTCTGTGAAACGTCAAGACCAGGGACGTCGCCTGGGGTAGGCATCCGGGGCTTTAGCCCCGGATGTTTTTTCTTTAGCCCCGGACAAATTCTCCCTCAATAATATAATACATTAACCTACTTTACCTATAGGACGGACGGTATATTTGTAATTTCCCATGTTCAGTGAATGCAACACAGAGGCAAGACGACGCCACCAGACCAATCAGAGAGTTGCATGGAAATACACGTGTTTTATTGGCTGACAGGTACGTACCTCTCCTCTGTGACAATGTTTAAACTTTAAACTGTCAGCCCCGGACGCGGAGATTCTGAAGATGGACATTAGACATTTCTTTAATAAAAAAGACGGCAATTCTCAAGTGGTGGCTCACACAACAACCCCAGAGCCACCACCTGAGCCAGGTGAACAAGGTATGTACCTGTCAGTAAACTTACAAGTTATGCGAACATGTAAGCAAAGCATACATTATAGCTACGTTTACGTTGAGGCCTTTTTTCCTCATTATCATGTCAAATTGTACAGCTTTCCTTAGTGTTGAATGGAGAAAGAGGACTATATTAGAGTATTAAGTGAAAATGACTATATTAAAGTTTTAAGTAAATATATTAAGTGAATTACTCAAACTGCATTTGTATAGGAATGATTCTGTCCTATTGGCAGATAACTACTATAACAGTGATATCTACAAGAGATGTAAATGTAACTATTTTCAATTGGTTAGTATTACATTTTGTGACAGTGTGGTGACACTCATTTGAATGAAGACACATTTGTGTATCTTGAAATTCATTTATTTGACAGAGCTGGAAACTGATTGACTTACATACTTGTTTGTGTTTACCTACACAGTCATCACAGATGAGCCAAACAGAGTAGAGGATGAAGAAAGGAGAACAGGAGAAAGGGACACACAAGAAGGAGATACAACAGACAAGAACGACAATGGAGACAACAATGAACAGGAACACCAGAACAGACAAGAGTCAATGAGTAACATGACTGATTTAGGGACTGCAGATACAGGGCCAAGGCAAGTGAGACACCACTGCTTTCCATCCAGCATGTTTGGCCAGCAAGATCATTTCAACCGCAAACAGCAAGAGATGAGGGATTATTATTTCCTCCTTCCATCCCTTTTTTCTGTTTAATCTGATTACTAACTACTTCTAATAAATTGACATAGTTTATGATTTAATTGGAAAATGAAGTGTGTTTAAATAATAAACCCGTTTCTGATTCTGAGATTTATTTGTGACATATGAGTGTTGAGAGATGTATCCATATCTCTTGATGTTGCTCTCAAAGTGCACAAGATTGATGCTTTTAACTTCAGTATTTAAAAAAAGTCTTCCTGGGGGAGCATGGCCTGGCCCCCCCAGAGGAGGTGAGTTCCCCCCAAAAGAGCACTTTATCTCTGCCTATGTAACTCCGGTGTAGTGTCCCCTCGGCAACAGATCACTCAGAGCTGGTGATTACTTTCCTGCATTTCAATGGACAGCATATAAAAAGGACACGTGAGCTGCATTGCTTAAGAGATCCTCTCATGCTATCTCTTTTACAAAATAAGTGTCCAGTCAACAACAAAACATCAGTGATCGTATAGTGGTAGTATATTTTTCACAAGCAATGTGAAACATTAAACTTATACAAACTGGTGTACAAAACTCACATACCTGCGTTGGTCTCCTGGAGTGTCTCTACTCTTTCTTCTCCACATCTCTTTCCACCATCAGAGATTGCAAACATTTCAGAAACAGCTAGAGGTAGGGGACAAACAACTTGTTCGCTGGGCATTTCAAAAACCTCCCTGCTTTGATCAAGACTTTAGGGAGCCTTTCAGCCCCTCTAGTAAAGGGACTGGAAAGCAAGCTTTGAACATGCAGTACCATCTACATGCTGTCATGTTCCAGACACTGCTCTCAACCACTCAGGGCCTGCACACATACCTGCAGAAAGAAACAATTGACTTGGTGCAGGCAGTAGATTACAAAACCGCAGTTGAGAACACACTGAAAAGTTACCGAAGTAACGAGAAAGCACATGAGGTCTATGACAAGACCAAGGCCCTGTGCAATGATCTTGATATTCCCGAAACTGTGACGCAGAGGAAGAAGCGTAGAAACATGGAAGACTTTGTAGTCGAGGCATCATGTGGAGCAATGTGAAACATTAAACATAAATAAACTGGTGTACAAAACTCACCTGCATTTCAATGGACAGCATAAAAGGACACGTGAGCTGGGTTCTGGTGCTCAGATTAGCTATTGATGATCACGTTGATAAATCATATAAAACAAATAGCCAATCACACTAAAAACATGTTGCTATGACTGTGAGCATTAAACAATTAACATTAAACTAAACAAACACAACAGTACGTTATTGTCCTTATAAAATAAAAACATACATTTTGTCCACTGAGATAATACAGGCACCTTACCCTCAAGAGATCCTCACGTGCTATGAGAGTCTCCCACAATCCATTGCCGTAACAAAGCTTTTTGTTTGTGACACCAGATGGCGCAATTGTGTATGTGCGTGTGGGGAGTCTTGCAGTAGAACATTTGACTGTAGCGCCGCCACTGTGGGCTAAGCCCCGAATGTTTCCAGGTCCAGGCGACGCCCCTGGTCAAGACACTAATTAATGAATTCAGTTTAAGACGCATTATTCTTATCATTCTTTATGAGCGCATAACGGTAAGGTATCTAATTACTTATTTATTTAGTATTCCATAACTTAGTAACAGAGATGGTCAAACTAAAGTGGTAGAGACATGGCAGAATTCCTACAATGAAGCGGGACATTGAACTGTTCACCCGTGAGAGGGCGATCAACAAAAGAGAGCGAGCGGCCCCATTGAGGGAGTTTACAGATGAAAAGACTCAGCCATGTTTATGCAGCACTGCACGTGGAGATGTGGTCTCGCAAGTCGCGCAGATTACATAGGCCTACATGTAAATAAACCTGCGGCGGAAACCCCTCTTGTCTGTCAGTGAGTGTGATTATTTTATAAAAGTAACGAAGTAACGCGTGTCGGGGCAATGTTAGTAACTGTAGTGTGATTACTAAATTATAAAAGTAACGCGTTACACTACTCCGTTACCGACAAACGTAGTATTATTACAGTAACGCGTTACTTTGTAACGCGTTACACCCAACTCTGGTTAAGGGCGAAGCATGATGTAGTCTGCGCCCCACTGGGTCCGTCCAGCACTAGAAGCACAGACATACCTGCTTAATAACACCCCCCTGCCTGTTGTGCCATGCGTAATGGCACATCCCCGTCCCTGGAGCAAACATACCTGTTTTCCTGACGGGGTGAAGGCTGGGAACAATACATACTGACCGCTGTGAGAAAGTAGAGACGAAGGTCCCACCTTGTCCTTAGAGGGGGAACAGCCGCTCTCTCCGTGTCAGCC